ATCTTTTATCCAAAAGACTTCTTCAGTCTGAGGAGCTGCATCAAACTTAGCACCTTCTCATAGTGGCTCAACCGGTCTGCTGGTGACATCCAGAACTAGCTGTTCACATGATAACGGAGGACCATCAACCTAACGATTGATCGTTAGTGCCCTGATCTTTGCTTGCTATTCACAGAGGGCTGAGTGATGCTGGCAATAACAGCATTGTAAGAGGGGGGCAGTTGAACATGGAGGCCTATTATCTAGAATTGTATATTATTCATCTTTAATAGAGGAGATGAAGAACAAGCCTAGATTTATTTAGTACTGTAGCTGGACTAATACAGTCCTCACCTCTGTAAAGCCTACATCTGTAAGTGATGATGATGATGACACACATGACATACATACAAATAAAATTCATGCCTTTCAATTAGAGAGAAAATTTGAACCATCCTTCCTACTATCACCTCTGGTTCTGCACCTGATGAGACAACTTTAAAAATGTCACTAGAACCTGATTTATGTTTGGGCTGTCTTTGTCCTGTTCTGCTCTCTGAATTGTCAAAAATAATAGCTTCATCCAAATCATCCACAAGAAAATCAACAATTGTGGATTATCTGAATCTGATTCCCCATTTGGCCTTGGATACAAACCAATTATCAAATTTCTCTTGGGACACGGGTAACTAGGGACAAAAGCTCAGTCTATCGCAACCACCGCTCCCTCTGAGAACTTCTGTGCAGGCTTATCAGAGCTGCCGGCTGAACAACAACAGAACTGTGGCCTATCTGAAAGTGCATGGACAAGTCTCAACGTCTTGGCGTCAGATGAATATGTAATCATGTTTTTAAATGTGCTGCTGGTAGAGTTTTTTGATGTCTCAAATCGTGTCCTGATAGGACAAGATGTGAAGAGATCTTTTTTGTATTACCACTATCTATCCTTATGGTTCTTACCCTTTTTTATCTAAAAATATTCTGATAAAGAATAAGGGGCTGCGCTTTTTAGCAGCAGCAACGTGCACTCCGCCCATCTTTCAGACGACTGCACGAACATAATCTCACTGTATTTCGGTACGATGATAATAAAGCTCATTCTGATTCACATGTCTGCTAGATCTCATCCCAACCAGGCTATTTAAAGACGTACTTCCCCTAATTAATATCCACATGTTGGATCTGCTCAATTTGTCTTTGATAAATGGTCATTAAATCATGAAGTCTAAAAAACAACCAAAAAGAATAGTGTTTGTGAAACAGCAGCAGATTTCTGGGAAACATTCGAGTGGTCTCAAACTCGCAGAGTTTTATTAGATGTGAGGTTCATGCAGCTCAGTGTGTGAAGAAGACATGCAGTAAAAGAGAGGAGGAAGGTGAGTTACAGGGAACCTTCAACACTGTTCATGATGCATTACATCATCACTCTGCCGTTTCTGTTAGAGAGCCGAAGCAGCAGATGAGTTGCTTTAACAAATCATTGTTTCAAGCCAAAACAGTGAAGAGATAAAACCATTCCTCTGCGTTTGTGTTTAAATAAAATAAAAACTGCTGCATCATTTCCAGTGAGGTTACAAACAACAACAGATGATGTCTCTCACGTTTTGTTCT